AGCCGGCCGCCTCGCCTCCACGCGGGGGAGTTCCGGCCACTGTTTACACCAACGACGCGGCCGCCGCGCAGCGCCGCCGCCCCCGCCCGCCCTCCCGCCCACGCCGCACCTTGTACAGCCGCTGCTCGTCGGGCGGCCGCTTGAGGATGCCCTCGACGATGCGCTTCAGCTCGAACACAGTGCTCGACTCCTTGGCGTCCGTGAAGATGGTGGTCTTGTGGCGCCGGATCATGAGGAACACGTCCTGGGGGCGGCGGGCCGGCGTGAGCACGGAGCCCGGACCCCCCGCGCCCCCGCCGGCCGCCACCCCCCCAGCCCCGCGCGGCCCGACGCCCTCCGCCACCCCCAGCCGGCCCCGGCCCGCCGCCCCTCCCCCCGCACCCGCTCACCATCGCGGCGGCTGCCTGTCCCCCCTCGACGCGCCGGCGCGGCCGCGCTCCGCCCCGTTCCCGGCAGGCCGCGCGCCCCGCCCCAGCGTGCCTCGCGCCCGGTGGCCCCGCCCCGCGGCCGCCATTTTAAGTGATGCGCCCCCGGCTCGGCCGGACCGCGCGGCGGGCGGCCATCTTGGCGCCGTGGCGTGGTGGGCGTGGGACGGGGTCCGGCGCGGCAGGTGGCGGCGCCATGTTGGGAGTGGCAGAGCGGAAGGCCCCCGCCCCCCCACCGCGTGCCGTCAGGAGGTGTGGGCGCAGCCTCGGCGCTCCGTGGGGAACGAGGGGGGCTGACCCGGCGAGTGCTGAGTACCCCCGGGCCAGGGAGGGCTGTGTGACCGCTGTGCATCCTGGTCATCGGGGCGGCACAACTTTCGCGCCGCAGCGATCCCTTGGCTGCTGCGTGTGTCGGGGTGGAGGAGGGTCTGTTCATAATTGAGGGGCTCCCTGGCCGCCACGGGGGTGAGGTTCTGGGTCTTCCGGCCGCCCCCGTGGTTGGCCGTCCCCATCTCCACGACCAGCCGTAGCGGGGCTTGGTGACCTGTTGGGACCCCGGGAAGCGGCCGTCGGGGTCAGGGGTGGTCAGGGGAACTCGCTCGGCCCCCGGGGGGGCGGGGCCGCCGCGCGCCCGCGGTCGCAGCTCCCCTTGGGACGCAGCCAGCCCCGGGAGGGCGCGAGCCTCAGCCGGGTCCTGGCGGGGGCCCCAGGAGCCGCGGGAGGCCCCCGCCGCCGGCTCCGCCCCTCGGGGGGGCTGCATTTGACAGTTGCGAGCGGGCGGGACCCGGAGATGCCGCCGGCGGGGCCTGAGTCCAGCCGGTGGCTGACTGCGACTCACCCGAAGAAACGGAAACTGCCAGTTGCTTTGCCAGCAAAACTGGGCTTCAGGGGGGACGGCAGAGAATTGCGCGGCAGGACAAGGAAGAGACCGCAGGGAAGGGGCCATGCGGGCGGCTTTCACCCCCAGCATGTCCCCTGGAATGGAGCGGCTTCCCCGCCCTCGCGGGCGGCTAGTCCCGCGGGGCTGCGGCGGCCGGGCGGGGAGGCCGAGTGCCCCCTGCCGGCCTCCCGCCTGCACCCCGAGCGCGGTTTCCTTCTACTAATCGCGGGGGGCGAGTGGGGAGGGCAGGCTCCGCGCGCGGACCACCAGGGATCCAAATCCTGGCCCCCACCTGTCCCCCCGGGCAGCTTTCGGCAGTTAGAGTCCAGTTTCGTCTTCTTTAAGACGATAGAACAGTTGTTTGTAAAGTTTGCAGATTTTCATCAAGAATTGGTATTCGGGGGCGCCCGGGGGGCTCGCGGTTGAGCGTCTGCCTCTGGCTCAGGGCGTGACCCCGGGATCCGGACCGAGTCCCGCATCGGGCTCCCTGCGTGGAGCCTGCTTCTCCCTCTGTCTCTGCTTCTCTCTCTGTGTGTGTCTCTCATGAATAAATAAATAAATCTTAAAAAAAAATGGTGTTCAGGGGGCACCTGGGTGGCTCAGGGTGGGATCCTGGGGTCCTGGGATGGAGTTCCGCATGGGGTTCCATGCTCAGTGGGGAGTCTGCTTGTCCCTCTCTTTCCACTGTCCCCCCACCCACTTCTTTCTGCCTCTCTCTCAAATAAAATCTTAAAAAAAAAAAAATCAGTATTCAGTAGGTGTTTCTACAACTGCAACCCTACTCCTCATTTTTTACTTCTAGCCCCTGCCTCCTGGGGGGGGGGCACAGTCCTCGCCCCTCCTGTCACTCTTCCCTCCCTGGGCCTGGGCGGCCTGGCTTCCCCTGGTTCCCTAGCCCGGGGCTGACCTCCACGTCGGTGTCATGGCCTGCGAGCAGCGGCAGCGGCAGTGGCAGTGGGCGAGTAACAGCTTGGCTAGTCCTTGGCTCAGGCCCAAGATTTCCATCTTAATCTCAGCATCTTTGCTACAGAGGTTTGGAGGCCTTAGATCCTGTACTGCTGAGGAAGGAGAGCACGGGACAGGGAAACGGTGTGCCAAGGAGAGGGCAGCAGCCTAGTGGGCCTTCCTCTCCTTTTTTTAAAAGCATTGATTAACATATAATTATCATGACTGGTAGTTCTTGGGGGTGCCTCTCTTTTGTAGAGTGTTTTACAACTACTTTCATCTCCACAAGGGAAGATTTACAGCTCAGTATGGAATTTGAGTCAGCTGCCCAGCTCTGACCCGGTTCCCAGCTCTGACCGGTTCTGCCTCACCTGCTATGGGCCTTAGGGCACGCCCCCTAACCTCTCTGGGCCTGTCTGCCCATCGGTGAAATTGAAAACACCCACGAGGTGTTCTTGGAGCCGCCAAGAACGTGCTCATGCCAGGTGCGGCATTCGTGCCCAGTGGGCAGAAGGGTGAGCGCTTTAGCCATTTCCTTAGCCTTCCCAGCAGCTACGGCAGGGTGGGTGGCATCCATTCAGATGACAGGAGGGGATACTGAGGTCAAGTCAGTACTCTTGGAGGAGGCGAGGCCATCCTGTTGCAGCATCACCTGCCAGAGCAGGTGGGCAGCTAGCAAATGGTGGCCTGAGGTGGGAGCCCAGCATGCCCCATGGGATGCCCGGGACTTCCCAGGACCAGCCCTGCCGCCCTGGTGCTCCCCTCCTGGCCGCACAGCCTCCTAGCCTGTCGCCTCGAAGGTCAGGCAGGTGCAGTGAGGCCAGGGGCAGTAAGCAGCTGTGGCTGATGCAGTCCCCCCACCCCTGCTGACCTCGCTGGCAGGCGGGATGCGCCAGCACAGGGTGTTATGCCACTGAGCCTGCTGGGCGAAGAGAGGCAACTTACACATCAGGAAGGGGCTGAGAAGAGGGGAGCTGGGAGCCTGCACTGCTGGGAAGTGGAGAGAGGAGAGGGGATTATGACCCCCTCTGCCATCCCCAGCTGCCTCCAGAAGCAGACCCTGGGCGGGAATCCCAGAATCCCAGCCTACCATCTACCAGCTGCAGCAGAGCCCGGGCCTTGGCTTCCCCGTGTGACACCTGGGTGTCAGGTGAGGATCCCAGCAGCTGGTGCCGCCAAGCCATCGCGTGGCATCTGGTAAGGGCTCAATGCGGAGCAGCTCATTTCTTCTCACCCGCTGACCCTTCCCTTCCAGGGCCAGCCTCTGTCCCTCCAGCTCCGGACCCCCTTGTTTAGCTCCCAGGCTATACTTCAGAAACGGGGCTCTCTGAAGGGGGCAGGGAGGGACCGCTACTCAAATCACAGCAGGTCCAAGGCTGCGGCCCACAGGCTCCCAGCCCCTGGCTTGTTCCCATATTAATGCCACAGGTGGCGTCCCTGGGAAGGCCCCAGGCCGAGGGAGGGAGCAGGGGTGGCCAGCATCACCCAGCAGGGACCACCAGGGTCCCTTTGCTGACGCGCCCACAGCCATACCCCGTCCTGGACACCCTGCTCCCTGATAACCGTCCCCCAAGGACCGTGAAGCGCTTCCCCAGATGGATGGGCCCCGGCCGCAGGGAGAGAGCAGTCTGGAGTCCCCCACTCCCCCCGCCCAGTCTGTGCACCCACCCTGCCCACGGGGCCTGGCCCAGCAGCACCAGCCTGCTGCAGCTACCCTCTTCCCCAGGGCGGGGACAGGGAGCCAGCAAGCCTCAGGCCCTCCCCAGCGGCTGCAGCTCTGAGGCAGGCCTCCGTGCCCTCCCCCACTGCCCCCTTTAGGCTTTGGGGTTTCCAGGTGGTGGTGTTTCCTATTCCCTCTGTAGTTCTAGACACTGAGCTGTATCTATTGGGCTGGATGGTCTTCTGCCTGGGGATAAGCAGATGGCAGGGGGGAACAGGAACCGGGTCCCAGGCCCACAAGGGTGGGCAGGGAGCTGCAAGGGGCCTAGGCCAGTTTTCAGATGCAGGGGGCAAGGGGTGGGGGTAGGGGAGTGGCCCGGGTCTGTGGGCCTTGCCATGGCTGGGACACAGCCCCAGACTCCCCCTGGGAGGATGGCTGTAGCCACACAAACAACAGGCACAGCAGAAGCTCTGGCCAGGCCTGCCTGGGGCTCCCAGCTCCTCTTGGGTAGAGGGCATGATGCCAGGTGCCCCAGGCTCCTGAGCCTTCTAGACCCCTGGGGGTACCTCCACGGCAGTGAGGCGAGGTCTATGTTCGTTTGCTATTGCTCTGTAGTCAACAATTACCAACATAGCAGCCTGAAACAACCCAAGTTTATTAAATCACAGCTCTGTGGGCCAGAAGTCTGGGTGGGCTCCGCCGGGTTCAGGCTTGGCCTGGGGGGCTCTCATCTGGAGGCTGCGGGGAGGAACTGGGTCCCTGAATCTCCTTGACTTCCTGCAAAAAAAAGGGGCACAGAGGCCGGGCCGGGCACCACCTGGCTTGTCTGTCTCTGGGGACGCAGGCCCAGCCCCTGGTTGGAGCTGGAAAGGGTAAATATGAACAGAAGGGGAGAGAGGGATCATGAGACCAGGACACATGGGAGGCTCCTGCAGGATGGCTGGCGGCTGGGCTTGGTGAGCCCCAGGGAGGCAGGGGGTGAACAGATGGATGACACCTGTAAGCCTCAAGGAGGAGGGGGCAAGGTGGGGGAGACGTGCAGGTCGTCGGAGGGACCCCCAGCCTCTAGCTCCAGGTCAGTGTTACTGCACTAGAGGCTAAGGTGAGCCCGAATCCAGGGGCTGTAGGTGGCCACGTTAGTATAGACGCCCGGACGGTTGGGCAGGGCACAGCCCTTGCCCCAGCTCACCACACCCACCAGCACCCAGCGCCCAGACTTCACACAGGTCAGAGGTCCCCCAGAGTCACCCTGCAGGAGGAAGACAAGCCTAGGTCTGGGCCGTCTGGCGACTTGGCATGGCAGTCCCGGGGCTCCAGTCTCCGAGGTGGTGCCTCCTGGCTGGGGGCCAGGACAGGCAGCCCTGGGTGTTGGGTTCTAGGGAGGCAGGGTGCTGGGCTTGGGAGCTAGACCCCAGGGCTTCCAGGCAGCTTCCCACACCTGACAGGCGTCTCTGTGGCCCTGGACGTAGCCGGCACACACACTCCCTGGCAGCACTATGTGCTCCCCGCGGGGCAGGTTGGTGCCCATGTGGTAGAGGCGGTCACAGGTGCGTGAGTCCAGCAGGGGCACCCTGACTCCCTGCAGAGGTCGCCAGTCCGGAAGGGGCTCTGGAGGGAGGAAGGGGAGCTTCTGAGAACTGGGAGAGGCAGGGGCTCACAGCGTGACCCGCCAGGCGGGGGTGGACTCTGCCGTCCAGCTAGGAGCTAGGAGGGAGTTTTGGGTCCCCGGAGGGAGGTCAGAGGTGGTGCCCGACTGGGACAGCGCAGGGGCTGGGATCCCCCCTCCCCGCCCGGGGCCACCTCCCCCCCCCCCGCCCACCCCCCCCCTCCCGGCCCCTTACCGCACCTCCAGGGTGGAGGCTGCCCCAGCCGGTGACCCAGCACAGCGTGCCGGGGGGTGGGCAGGCTTCGGGCAGGCAGACGGGCTGCACGCGGGCGCTGAGGGGCACAGGCCGGCGCAGCTGCAGCAGAGCCAGGTCGCCGCGGGCGCGCTCCTCGCTGTGGTCCGGGGGCAGCAGCACCCTGCGCACCTGCGCCCAGAGCCCGCGGGGAGACGCGGGGCCCAGGTGCAGCGCCCCGAGCCGCACGCGGTACTCGGATGGCAGTGTCGGCCTGTGCAACGGGTGGGGGGCATCTGAGGGCGCCGGCCGCCCCCGCCTGCCTCCCCCTGCCCCCCCCCCCCCCCCCCCCGCCACCGCACCCCCCTGACCTCAGGAAGCAGTGCGCCGCTGTCAGCACCCACTGGGGGGCGATGAGCGAGCCCCCGCACACGTGCGCCCCGCGGTGCTGGATGCTCGCCTGCCACGGCCACTGTCCATCCCGGGCGTCCCGGCCCCCCACGATGCGACTGGACACCTGGGGCTGCCCGCAGGCTGCAGGGGACAAGGGGGATCGAGGGCGGGAGGGAGCTGGGGCCCAGGAGACACAGGGCCCTGGTCAGGGAGGGGCTGGCCCAGGGACTCCACGGCTTCCTTACCTGCGGATTCCAGCGTCCCTGTCCCAGCGGCTCCTGGAGGAGGAAGCAGAGAAGGGACAGGATTATGAATTTGGTGTCAGATAACGGGGTGAGCGGGAGGGAGGTCACAGATTAGGAAGGAGGGTGGACCGTACTGGTCGCTCAGAGCTGGTGCCAGGCTTTTGTGCAATCAGCAGGCTGGCCTGGTTACCTGATTTAACCCTCCCCGGGGCACTGGCAGGTGGGGTCTCACCCGGTACACACATGGGCCTGAGCTGGGAGAGAATGGGAACCCATGAAGCCCAGATCGGGGTGCCCTGAAGTACTCTAGGGGCACCAGGCCAGAGAGAGATGAGACGGGACACCCGGGAACACCCCGAGCCCCTGTGCCCCACTCACCCAGCAGCAGGAGCAAGGCCTGGAGGCAGGCAGTCCCCGTCATTCTGGTCATTCTGTCTTCGGGGCTGGGCCCGGGAAGGGCGGCACCCCTCAGGGTCTGGACTCTGGTCTGAGCCTGCAAGGACAGGAGAGGAGGGTCCTAGCCCCAGACCCCAGAGACCCTCTGCCTTCCTTCAGCACCCCCCCACCCAGGTCCTGGGCGTCTCCCCGGGGCACAGGTTCTATGCACATCCCTCTGCCCACACCCTAGGGGCTCTGGCTGTCCCCCCAACCCCTGCAAGATGTGAGCTCCCTTGCGTCCGCAGGAGCCCTGGAGCCCGCCCGGCCCCTACTTCCAGGTGGGCGCCTGCTCCTGGCAGCCCCCAGCCCTGCTCTCACCCACTCGGCTGGTGCACTCCCTGCTGACTGGGCAGGGGAGGCCCTGGGGTCTTAAAGGGCCAGAGGGGGTGGGGGCCCTGCCCGGGGCGATTAAGGAGCCAGGGCGGGGCTGCGGCTTCACCAGCAGCCTCAAACAAAGATGTTTTGAGCAGCACTTTCCAGGCGAAAGGAAAGGGACACCTGGGTTTGTCAAAGGATGCGGCTTGGGCCAAGGGGCCGAGCTGGGGTGGGAGCTGGGCCCGGGGGGCGGGGGCGGGGGGGGCCCCCCCGCGGCCAGGCAGCTCCGGATAATACTGAGCCTGAGCCTCACTCGTGGCTGTCCCTGCAGGTCCCCGGCTGTCCCTGCGGGTCGTCGGCGCTGGCAACACTACTGCTCTGTCCCGAAACCCCAGCGCAGCCGCGACCCCACCTGCCCCAAGGAGCCCACCCAGACCCGCGCTCTGCCCTAATTTTAAGCCGCCAGCACTCCTTGCGTGACCGGAAGCAGACGCAGACTTGACCTTGGGGCACAGTCCACTCTTGAATTGGGTGTGGCCAGGACGTGAGGCTGCTGGCCCCGGGGATGCCGGCAGATGCTGGGGACAAGGCTTGGTGGAGGGTGGGGCCTGGGCCGTGTCCACCACCCAGAAGGCAGGCTCGGGAGCGCCCTTTTACCTGGTGGACTCCGCATCCCGCAACGTTCCCTCCAGGTCCCTCCAACCCAGCCCTCCTGCCAGTGTCGCCCTTCCCGGTGAGGGAGGGGGCCTGAGTCACATCTGTCCGGCTCCTCTCTGTGAAGTGGGGTCTGGGTGTCTGTCGCTGCTCAGGCTGCCAGAACCCAATGCCAGACTGAGCCACTGGGACGAACATCTCTCACGTTCTGGAAGCTGCCAGGCCCATAAACCAGGTGCTGGGGAGGTGGGTCCTGTTCCGAGACCTCTGTTCCTTCTGCGTGGGCTGCGGTCCCCTCTCCGCCTGGTGGGGGGCAGGTGCTGGACGCAGGGCGCACTCTCTGAGCACTCTTCTTACAAGAAGAGGGGCCTGCGGGATCAGAGCCCACTCTCAGGAACCATCTTAACCTTGACTCTTTCCATACAGGCCTGATCTCTAAATATAGGCACTGGAGGTTGGGCTTCAATATGTGAACGTTTGGGGGGGGACCCGCACATCCAGTCCCTAACAGTCCTCCATGGCCAGGGTCGAGCCCAGCGCAGAGCAGGCACTGTGTGCGAGTCAACGGGCCGAGCAGGGTGGCAGGCTGGGGGTGAGGGCGAGGGCCACAGGAGAGGCGACCTGGCGGCATCCTGGCACCAGCTTTTCACCTGCAGCGGATGGAAGGCATGACCCTGCTGTCCATGCTCCAGCCCTAGGTGTCTGCCGTTAGGCTGTGGCACGCTCCGTCTCCAGGCCTGACACCGTGCGGGCAGGTTGCTCTTCTGTAAAAGGCTGTTGTGAAGATGAGCTGGGGCAGCCCAGGCCCAGCTTGCTGTGGAGCCTAGCTGATGCAAACACGTAAAAAAGTGCTACAAGAATGAAAGCAGCAGCCTCCTGTCCTCCCACAGCTCCTGACCTTTATGGCCTCGGAGGGCTTGGTGGCAGTGGGGCCACAGGTGTTCCCCTTGGGGCAGCTGGAGGGGCTGGTGGGATGGTGACAAGAGACCCTGGGGACACACCGCCATCTCTGGGGGCATGGGCCAAACCTGAGAGGGGAGCTGGCCAGCTCTCATGTCCTCTCATAAGTTATCTTTCTGGCTGAATTAACTGGAGAGGGCTCTGGGGTTTACAACCCAGACCTGCATGGTGCAGACAGCTGGAGCAAGGGTTGCCAGTCAGGAAGTGGTCCTGGGGTGACTGGGAGGGTGCCCAGGGAGCCACCCAGGGCCACAGAAGGCTCTGCAAAGCATAGACTCCAACATGCAAACCTGTTTATTAAAAAAGGGTTAAAAAGGGACAGTTGGGGGAACCGGGCCTGGCTCAGCAGATGGCCCCAACTCTCAGGGGCTCTGCTGGACTCAGGCCACCTACAGGAGGGAGGCAAGCCAGAGTAGAGGGAGGAGCAGCTGCAGGCAGGGGGCCGGCCTCTGAATGCTGCTGTGGGCCATGAGCATCCTGATCCAGTTGAAATACGCACTGATGTTGGTGTAGACGCCAGGCCGGTTGGGCCTACCACAGCCGGATCCCCAGCTCACGATTCCAACCTGAATCCACAGCCCTCTCTTCTCACAGGCCAAGGGTCCGCCTGAGTCACCCGGGGGAGCAGTGCAGATGAGCCAGGCCTGGGGTGAGGCCGGAGGGGCCAGTGGAGAAGTGGGGCCAGTAGGAGGGACTGTGGAGCTGGGCAGACTGGGTGCAAACCCTACCCCCCACCCCGGAAGTGAACAAGCCTCAGTTTCTACGTCTGCAAAGTGGGGCAATAGTCTCTATTTGCCCCCCCCCCATTTTCAGGTGAGGATAAAAGGAGGTACAATTAATGAAAAACAATGCTTGTCTTCCAGCCTGGATAACTAAGGCCTTCTGTTTTTTCTCACAAATACATGCTAAGAGGGGTTGATGAGCATCACAGTGGTTGCTCCCAGGCTCCAGGTCCGGAGGGGTGGTGCCTGGTTCCAGCAAGGCACTGTTGGGGCTGGAGCACTCACTCTACAGGCATCACGGCTACCATCCTCGGAGCCAGCACAAATCATGTCATTGAGGTTGTAACTGAGGATGCTGGGCTGTTGGAACAGGTAGTCACACCTGGAGTTGTTTATGATAGAGACCTGCACTTCCTGGAAATTCTAAGGAGGCAGTAGAGCTGCCAAGGGTTGGGGGTGACAGAGAGAGAGAGACAATGACTTTAGCCCTTCCTCTGCCATCTGGGACAGGGGTGAGGTCCCTGGGGCACCCACAGAGCTGGGGACATCACTCTCGAGGACTCTTCTGTGCCAGCCCAGCACCCTGCTCATGGTGGGTGATGAGTAACATCGCAGAAGGAGCCAATGGATGGACAGCTGACACTCGGTTTCCCTCTCTGTAGAAGGGAGATGACAGCCCCCACCTGAACCACTGGGGAGGTCCCTTAGCCACAGCATGCACAGGGCTGCAGGGGGTGGGGTACAAACACACTGAGACAGTTTAGGATTAACATACTACACCTGCAACATCCAGCTTGAAAATGCCATGGATTTGTTAAAAGATATGAATCTATATCCAGAAGAAGCTGAACAATCTCCAAATAGGATAAACACAAGGAATCCACACTGAGATATATTTTCATCAAACTATCAAAAGATGAGGGTAGGGATGCCTGGGTAGCTCAACTGGTTAAGCATCTGCCTTTAGCTCAGGTCATGATCCCAGGGCCATGGGATGGAGCCCTGCATCAGGCTCCCTGCTCAGTGGGGGGCCTGCCTCTATCTCTCCCTCTGCCTGTTTTTCAGCCTATCTGTGCTCTCTCTCTTTCTGTCAAATAAATAAATAAAATCTTTAAGTAAAAATAAGTAAAGGCCTTGAATAGGCATTTCTCTAGGAAAGATCTACATATAGCCAAAAAGCACATGAAAAGATGCTCAGTATTACTGGTCACATTAGGGAAATGCAAATCAAACCCACAATGAGGTACCACTTCACATCCATTAGTATGGAAAAAAATAGAAATAACAAGTATTGAGAAGAAGAGAAATTCTAACCCTCATTCATTGTTGATAGCAATGTAAAATGGTGCGGCTATTGTGGAATGCTGCTTCTTGGTTCCTCAAAAAGTTAAATATGGAATTACCACATGATTCAGCAGTTGTACTCCTAGGTATATACACAAAAGAAAATAAAAGAGGTATTTAGGGACGCCTGGGTGGCTCAGTGGTTGAGTATCTGCTTTCAGCTCAGAGAGTGATCCTGGAATCCTGGGATCAAGTCCCACATCAGGCTCCCTGCATGGAGTCTGCTTCTCCCTCTGCCTGTGTCTCCGCCTCTCTCTGTCTGTGTGTCTCAAGAACAAATAAAGAAAATCTTTTTTTTTAAATTTTTATTTATTTATGATAGTCACACACAGAGAGCGAGAGAGAGAGGCAGAGACACAGGCAGAGGGAGAAGCAGGCTCCATGCACCGGGAGCCCGATGTGGGATCCGATCCTGGGTCTCCAGGATCATGCCCTGGGCCAAAGGCAGGCGCCAAACCGCTGCGCCACCCAGGGATCCCAAATAAAGAAAATCTTAAAAAAAAAAAAAAAAAGGAACGAAATTCTGACACGTACTATAACATGGACAAATTTTGAAAACACTGCATTAAATGAAAGTAACCAAAGGGCCACGGAGTGTATGAATCCATTTACATGAAATAGCCAGAATAGATAAATCCATAAGGACAAAAAGCTTGTTAGTGGCTGCCAAAGGCCGGAAAGAAAGGGTAAGGCACGGTCACTGCTCAGTGATTGTCAGATCTCCTTGGGGAGCGATGGAAATGTTGTGAGACTTGACAACGTTGATGGTTATACACCATGAATGTATTAAATGCCACAGTTGCACATTTTTAAATGGTGAATTTTATGTGTTGTGAGTTAAATCTGAAATTAAAAAAAAAACCAAAACACCTGAGACCTTTCTGACAAGCCCACCCCCAAAATTACCAAGCCCCTGCAGCCTGGGGAGTGTAGCCCCGGTCCAGCTGGCCTCCCTCTCACTGAGGCTTCTGGCTCACAGTGTCTGGATGGGAGAGGGAACCGGGTGCAGGGACAGGAAGTCTGGTCCTTTCAGGGGGAGCAGCAGCAGACAGCAGGGGAGCAGACAATGCTGAGCTGCCCCCAGGAGGGACCCAGCTGCGCACAGACCCAGGTGGGGGCTGCTGAAGCTGGTGTGGGTGGAACAGATGGTGGAACATAAGACCCCCTGTGCACCTCTCACTTGCCCCCAGCCTCACCCTGGTTTTCCTGGATGTCCCCCCAGCCAGTCACCCAGCAGTTGGTCTGGTTCTGGAACTTGGAGGAGGAGATCATAATACAGATGGGCTGGATATACTTATTGTAGGTGACAGAAGAGGACAGCTTCAGCAGGGCGATGTCGTTGAGTGAAGTCCCCTCAAATTGGGGGTATATGATAATATCCTTCACCCTGTAACGATGGTAGAAGGTCCACAGTTTCCAGTAATGTGGCCTAGAAGACAGCTCACCAATATGGGCCGTCCATTTTGAGGGATCACTGTGCCTGGCAAGGGAGGAAAGAGCAGTTATGAGTCCTTAGAGAACGGAGGGCCACCTGAGCACACCTGGGGCCCACTTCCTGAGGGGAGACTGCTTCAGGTGCTACTAGGGTGCACCCTGGACAACAACAACAGAGTTCCTTTCATGGCCCGAAGTGTCCAGTGTAGAAATGATGACGGCCCAGAGAAGATAGTCCAAAGTCCTAGAATCTGAGGCCTTTGGGGACATGGAGGTGAGGCAGCCGGGTGCCTCCCCTGGGGCCTGATGTGGCCCCTCAACCAGCCTGTCACCTCCCACCGCCGTCCTAAAAAACAATGAACGGATACACAGGACCAAAGCTGGTGGCATTCAAGTAGCTGCCTCTACCTGGGGCCACAGGCCAGTCTCTGTGCCCAGCACTTACCCACCTCCTTCCACCTCCTGGTACACCTCCGTGGGAAGGTGGGATGAGGAAGAGGATGGCGGCGCTGCTACTTGGGGAGAAAAGCCAGAAAAGCATGGTACAAAAGTGTGTGTGAGTGTTCTGAAGAACATTCTAGAAGATGGAGAACAGGGTTTTCCTCACGTGGCTGCAGCCGGGCCTGGGGCTGAGGGGCACCCAAGGGGGCGGAACCCGGGCCCCCCACCCCCGACTCACTTGAGGAAGCAGTGCGTGGCCGTGAGCACCTGGCGCTGAGCAGGCTCGCCCCGCAGTGCTGGTGCCTCCCCCGGAGCAGGCTGCCCTGCCAGGGCCAGCACCCCGGCTCTGAGTCCTTTCCGCCCACCACGCGCGGCTGGATTTTGTGGAAGCCGCAGGGCCCTGCGACGGACAGGCGGACAGACGGACAGGCGGACAGACGGACAGGCGAACAGGCGGCCGAGCCCGCGGGCGCGAAGGGCAGGGGCTCCCGGGACGGCGGGCGTCGGGGGTCGCGCGGCGGGGGGCCTCCCGGGGCCTGGGGACCCTCCCCGCGTGGTCCGCGCCCGCCCCCCCCCCCCCCCCCCCGGGGCCCGGCAGTTACACGTGAGCAACGACGAGTTCTCGAAACCTGGGGGGGGCGGGGGGAGAGGAGACGGTGAGGCGCCCCCGCGCTCGGCGGTCGGGGGTCGGGGCCCGCGGGCAGCTTGTCCCACGTCCCACGTCCCACGTCCCACGTCCCACGTCCCGGCGCCTTACCTGCGAACAGCTGGTCGCGGTCCTGAAACTCTGGGGGGGCGGGGGGCGGGTGAGCTCAGCCCCGCCTGCACGCCCTCCACCTGCAGGGCCCCCGCCCCCCGCCCGCCCCCGCGGGGCTCACCCTGCCTCCCGAGCTCCGCTCGCACCAGCAGCGCCGCCAGCGCCAGCAGCAGCGCCCCGACGTGCGCGCCCATGGCCTCCTCTCCAGCCTCCTGCGCCGCCTCGGCTTCTGCCCGCTGGGGGGGCCGGGGCGGCCCCTGGGGGAGAGGGAGCGCCCGCCACGCCGCCCGCGCCTGCCCCCAGCCGGACCTCTGGGGGTGCCGGGGTGCGGGGGTGCGCGGTGTCGGGGAGCGTCCGGCCTCCCGGTGCCGGCTTGGCTCTTCCTTCCCCTCGGGCCGGCGCCCCCAGCCACAGCGCGCGCCCCAACGGTCCTGCCTGCGGCGACCCCGGGGTCCTGGCGGCCCCCGCCCACCCCCTCCTGCGGGAAGGGCCAGGCTGGCCCACAGCGGGGTCCCCGGGACTCCCGTGGGAACACAGGAACAAGTCCTCCTGAGGGCGCGCTCGGCCCGGCGGTATGGGGCCGAGCCAGGAAAAGAAGATCCCTTTCTTTGTTGGGGGAGATGATGGCGTCAGGTGTAGCCCCTCCCTGAGCCCACGCCCGGCTGCTCCCGCCCAACCCAGGATGCCCCCTGGCGGCGGCCCCAGCCCCCCTCCTCTTCCTCTTCCTCTTCCTCCGAGGTAAATTTTGGAAGTTGAAACCTCAAGGCGGTTTTACGGACAGCATGAGGTCCTCCATCCCAGTGACTCCCCCAGTGCTCCTTGGGGTGTTGGGAGTTGTGCCCTCTCGGTGGCCCTCTTGGTGTCCTGAGCATTAGCGCGGACGGGGGAGGATTTGCAAAGCGATTGCCTTCTGAGGTCCGCCCAGCCAGAGGAGAGCCAGTGTGGGCTTGCGGGAGTGTCCCTCGGTGTGCACTCCGTGGGAGCCCGGGGCCCTGCCCCACAACGCCCCTGGGGTGAATCAGGTGCTAGAGGCAGCAGCAGCCAGAGCGCGGTCCCTACCTGGAGGAGCAGGCGAGAGAGGTCCTCAGGGTGTCCTTGACCTAGGGCACCTTGAAGGAGATGCCTGTGAGAGGCACTCAGTGCTTGGTGACCACGGAACCTTCTTCAGACCATGAAGCTGGCCCCCTTGGCTTCACACACTGGAGTGCTCACCCCCATCACCTGCAGAGTGAGGGGCTCAGGCAGGTGGACTCGGGACAGATGGGGCCTGTGGGAGGCCATGGCTGGGTAGGGACTGGGTCCCCAGGCATGGCAAGGGGGCAAGATTTTTCCCTAAAGTGGTCCCCCCGTGTGGCCTTTGGCACCACAGCACTTGTAACCGGCCAGTGTCCTGTGAGCTCCTGCGGTCTGGGCCAAGCGTGGCACATTGGTTGCCCGCGACACCGCGCCAGCCACCGCATCCTGATGCTGTTTGGGGAGCTGCGGCCCGGAGGGTCACTCAAGCCGAGGTCCTGCCACAAAGGGTCCAGGCTCCCGCAGCCCACAACAGCCCCTCTGACCACCTCTCCCTCGTCCCCCAGCACCCCCCAGCACCGCCCCCCCCAAGCTGTCTTTTTCTCTTCCTCGTGAACTCCAAGCTTGCTCCAGCGGGGGGTGGGCTCTCCCTGCGGACTCTTCTTCGGAGGCTGCTCCACAGTGTCCCGTCTTGTGCTAAGGTGACCCTTCAGCAAAGCTGGCCCAGCCCTCCTCCCATCTCCAGCAAGCTCCATGCCCCCGGCCCCCCCCAAGAAGTCAGCCATATCCAAAATGATCTCATTCGGTCACATGTGCACCTGACTGTGGGCTGCCCCCACATGACAAGCTATGTGGAATTAAGGGTGGACGGAGAGGCAAGGAAGGGAGGGGGAAGGAGAAAAGGTAGAAGAGAAGGAGGGAGGCAGAGCATCTCCCAGGGTGGGGGGCTCTGGCCCTGGCGGGCCCCGTCGCTGCCATCCCAGAGGGCCCTCCAGGTATCCTGGCCCAGGAGGAGCAGTGTGGAGGAGCACAGGGGGGGGCGGGGGGGGCAGGCGGTGGCCCCTCCAAGCTCCTTAGGGGACGTCAGCTTTTGGGGATCCTCAGACAGGGTGTGCAAGGCTCAGGGAGGTAACTGAGACCCCTCCAGGAGGGCGAGGAGGTAGCATGTCCTCGTCTCCCTCATCTGTGCCGCCACACTCGGCTGCCACCACTCGAGGTGCCCACAGACGGTGGACGGCAGCAGCTGGAGCTCACGTCTGTGCTTACTTGTCCTCACCCTCCCCCTGGTGTGCCCGGCTGGCTACCCATCGCGCTGCTCTGGCTGGCACATGTTGGATACGAGCAGCATCTGGGGCCTGGGGGGTGTGGTGACAGCAGCGATGACCCTGGTGTCAGCCCGTAGCTGTGGTCTGAGTGCCGGATGACCCCGGAGATCCTGCACATGCTCGTCTCCTGCAGGGTGGGCTGCGGTGTGGGGCTCACGTTCTAACACTTGGGGCTCCAGGCTCGTGGCCATCCTTAGCCACCGCCCCCATCCTGCCTGCACAGCTGCTCCCCACCATCCAGAGAGGCCCGGGGCTGGGGCTGGGGTACCTCCTCGGCTACCTGGCCACCAGGAGACAGCCCTGACGGGGACACCCAGGCCCTGTGCATCCAGAGAAGCCTCCAGAGAGGGAGGGGTGTGGGGTTTGGGTGGGCTCGGCTGCAGGGACACTGGAGGGACAGGGACAGCCCACTGGAGAAGGCGCTGGAGGGGCAGTGGGGGGGGCTCAGAGGATGAAGGGTTCTCAGCCTGCTGCCTGGGGGCCGAGGGGGCCGCTGAGGATGTGACCACTAGGCTCACCTGTGGGTGGGAGAGCCAGGCATAGGCGGGGTGGCGCCTGTCCCAGAAGGGGCTCAGCCTGCCGCCTGCCCCTCCCATGTCCCATCCGATGGAAACCGTCGCCCGAGGACCCAGCCTGGGCTCCCTCCTCCCGCTGCCTGCTGGCTCACACATCTCCAGCAGGTTCCAGGCTCCTGGAGAGCCAAGCTGGGGAAAGAGGGAGAAGATGGCCAGCGACCTCAGCCCGGCTCTGAGCCTTCCAGGTTCACACCTGAGGTGGACGGATTCACCGCCAGCCCTGCCGCGCCCCCAGGGTTTTGCTGTGCCACCCACTGAGCCTAGGGACAGGGCTGCCATGCGACTGGACTCGGGCAAGCCCTGGAGCTTGAAGCCCTCAGTCTCCCCGTCTGAAAAACCGGGAATGGGAGATGCTTTCGCGGACAGCCTCTGGGGTCCGGAGGCGCGAGGAAGCGATGCCCTTCTGCCTGCCAGCTTGCGTTTATTGCCTCTCAGGTAGACAGGCCCGCAAAGGCACCAGCCCAGCACTGGGGACTTGAAAGCCCAGTTCCAAGGGTCCCCCAAGCCCCCAGAGGAGTCCCCGAGTGTGGGTGTACCTGGGAATCAGACTTGGATGGTGAGTGAGGGGCAGGACAACCAGGCTCTGTCCCCAGGGGTTCCCAAGTTGGCAGGGAGGCTGAGGGCACCTTGAGGCCTATGGGTCCCAGGTCGTGGGGTCTGAAGTGGGGGGATGGGGGGCAGGCAGGGGCCGGGGAGGCTGGCGGAAGGCAGCCAGCCATGGAGGGTCTGGGGAGGGGTTTCTTGCCGGACGTGGGCCAGCAGCGGAGGGTCTACAACGCAGAGGCTGAGGCCGCAGGGCCCGCTGCCCGGTTAGGCAAGCCCCAGGGCGGCCAGGGCGGCCCCCAGCGGGATCAGAACCAACAGCGTGGCGGGGAAGAAGGCTCTGACGCCTTGGGTTGAGCTCTGGATCTGGCTAGTAATCCATGTGGTGTAGACGCTGACGTTGATGTACACCCCTGGCCTTTTAGGGAGGCCGCAGTCATATCCCCAGCTCACTATGCCTGCCTGGGTCCAGACTCCAACGTCGCAGACCAGGGGGCCTCCGGAGTCACCCTAGGGACAAAGGAGTCCAGGAGTGTAGGGCCACCTGCTTCGTCCTCCCTCCTTCCATGAGGGCCTCCCCACGCCCACCAACCTCTCTTCAGGCCTGTTGGCTAGGTCTAGTGGATGGAGGATTGGTGAGTTGGATGTTTCTGGAAGGCAGCAGAGGCCTGGGAATTTGGGGCAAAATCCCTGACACATGGGACAAGCTGTGGGATGGGAATACCGCATTCTTTAAATAAAACCGTGCATTTCAGAGTAGGGGCTCTGAGGAACACTTCTGTGTTGCTACTCATGCTGTTTGCTTTGGTTTTGATGAAAAAATTCTGTGATTAAACAAGACTAAGAGGGCATGTGATGAAGAGCAGTCAAAGACAAAACCAATGCAGCCTAGAAGTGACCTGCTCCTCAGGATAATTTGCTCAGAGGCCCTGAGTGTTATTTTTGGGAAAGAAAAAAAATACATTTCTGGCCCCAAAATAAAAGCTTTAGGAATAAGGGATATGGTCACAGTTTGCTTAAGCACTTTTGAAATATTTCATGTTCTAATCATGTTGGTATGATGTATTTAAAGGGATTGTTTTTCTATTTGAATTGACTCTTGTATTTAAAACAACGTTGTCGGGATCCCTGGGTGGCGCAGCAGTTTGGCGCCTGCCTTTGGCCCAGGGTGCGATCCTGGAGACCCGGGATCGAATCCCACATCGGGCTCCCGGTGCATGGAGCCTGCTTCTCCCTCTGCCTGTGTCTCTGCCTCTCTCTCTCTCTCTCTCTCTCTCTCTCTCTCTATCATAAATAAATTAAAAAAAAATAAAACAACGTTGTCCTCCTCTGCCCGGGAAGGGGGGTCTTTGGAGGGGGGTGTCACTGGGTGACAGGGAGTGGGTCCGCCCTGGAGGGTCCCTGGGGGGTGACAGGGAGCGGGTCTGCCCTGGGGGGTCCCCAGGGGGTAATGGGCACTGGGAGACCCTGGCCCCCATCAGGGCTGCTTGCTCACCCCGCAGGCGTCTTTCTGGCCACTCTCGAAGCCGGCACAGAGCATGTCCTTGAAGATGATGGGCTCCTGGCTGGGGGTGTTAGAGTTCTCCTGGTAGTAGGCATCACAGGTCTGGGTGTCAATGAGGGGCACATTCACCTCCTTCAGGGTGAAGGGTGGAGGGAGTGCTGGGTGGGGAGCAGAGTGGCACTCAGATGGGACGGCACCATCCCCTGGCTCTCAGCTGGCTGGTCCCTACTCTCTCGCACACACTCTGATGAACTAATGACAAGAAGCCATTTCTTGCCATTTTGCACGCCCTCCTCTGCTGCTCAACGAACAGGGTCCCGCATTGGTGTTCAGGAAGCCCTGACACAAGGCTGAGGTAGAGCGGTGAGCCCACGCGGAAAGGGAAAGGGAGGTACGCCTGGGTGGCTCAGTGGTTAAGCGTCTGCCTTTGGCTCAGGTCCTGCTCCGAGGTGTGGCGCTGCCCTCCCGGTGACCAGGCGGTGGGGCGAGCTGGACACACAGGGGACCAAGGGGCACGAACCAAGACCCAGGGCAAGTCACTTTCAGCAGATGACCCTACTCTTCTCGGCCCTCCCAGGCTTTGGCCAGAAATGGCCTGAAGAGTGCCTCTCAAAGACTCATATGCACCCACACCTCAGAAGGTGACCTTTTGTGGGAAGAGGGCCTTCGCAATTTAACTAGTCAAGGTGAAGTCATCCTGGATCCAGGCAAGACAGAAAAGCAGAGGACACGCAGACCCCCAGGGGAGAGGCCGGGTGAAGATGGGGGCAGGCTGGAGCCACCAGCCCAGGGACACCAAGCATTGCCAGGAGCCAGCAGAAGCTGGAAGGAGCCTGGAGGATCCTCTGCTGGAGCCCTCGGGGAGCCCGGCCCTGCCAGCGCCTTGACTTCAGACCCGCACTGTCCCAAACTGTGAGAGATTACGTTTCTGAGGTTTTAAGCCTCCGGTCTGTGCTCATTTGTCAGGCAGCCCAGGATGCTGACACCAGGTGACAGTGCAGCATGATGCTGAGAACGACACGCTGTGTACCGAGAACTCACTCCCTACCCCGTTGGAAGAGCCTGAAACGGACGCATCATTGCGTGTTACCCTCACGTCACCCCAGCGGGGTTGGTGCTGGTCACTGGTGTGCTTGTCATGGGGGTGGAGGTCCAGGGCCTAGGCTGGGGCAGCATTCCAGAGCCCTCTGCTGGGCCTGCCGTCAATCCCTGGGTTACTGTGTGCTGGGAGGGCGGCTGGGGAGCCCCCCGAGAGGGGGTCTGGGGCGGCAGGCTGTTTATCCGAGGGAGGTCCCGGTATTTCACCGGCTCCCCTGTGCTCCGCGCATCCCAGTGTGCAGGCTCCGGGTCCATCCTGTGTGAGTGTGGTGGCCGGTGCTGCTGGCCAGGGAGGCCCCGCCCACACTGGTCCCCACCCCTCACCCCCCACCATGCTCCCCCGTGTCCTTACGCTGATTCATGGCGATGTTCCCCCAGCCAGTGACCCAGCACCAGGTGCCATTACCCAGGGGGTCTCCAGGTTTGGGGAGGCAGACAGGAAGGATGAGGTCAGTGAAGTTGACCGGTGAGGCCAGCTGCACCAGGGCGATGTCCCCAGTGCCGAGCTTCTCCGAATAATCTGGGTAGATGATGAACTGGGCCACGGCTTGGAGCTCCTGGGGCTCGTTGGCCTGGGGGTAGGAGGAGATGGAGCCCAGCAGCACAACGTAGGAAGACAGGGGCTGGTTCCTGGAGGTGGGGAAGTCCAGGGGGTCACAGAGGCTGTGCCAGGGTCACCCGGGTGGGCGCCAGGGACCATCTTGATTTGAGGGTCCTAACATTACAGACAGACAACTTGTTTTTTTATAGACAGACAACTTTACAAGCTTAGTGCACACCAGAAACGAAGAGTACCCCGTTTATTCCTCAAGACACCCCTGCAAAGATGCGACCACCTCCTCTATTTGGTGAGTGTGAGACAGGTTTGAGGGCAGAGGCCATCCTGGGTGGATAAGTGACCCCCCAGGAGGATATTTCTGCCACCTAATTCCAGATGGGTGGAAGGCTGTGGTTCAAATGGGGAAGGAAGGGTGCTGGGGGGGAAGGGAGGGTCCTGGCTCCCCCCGGGGCTCATACTTGTGCCCTCCCAGAAGATACTCACTGGTGGAAGCAGTGGGCCGCAGTCAGCACCCAGTCCTCAGCAATCAGGGAGCCCCCACACACATGCTCTCCATTCTCCCTCAGGCTGACCTGCCATGGCCACTGGCCCAGCTGGGCATCCTGCCCTGACACGATGCGGCCTGTCACACGTGGGCGTCCACACACTGCAGGGGGAGTCCATGGGCCGGTTATACGTGGTCCCCTCTGGGCTCCTCGGGCCCTGCAGACCCGGCCTCATTTATCCCTGGCACTCATGGGTTGGCATCTGGTCTCTTCTTCTTGGGCTCCACGAGGTGGAATTCTTTGTAAGAATTCCTGATGGAGGGCAGGGCTTGGTGACCCGGGGTGGGGGTACAGGGCAGCTGAGCTGAGGGAAGTGGGAGTTGGGGTCCTGGATGGGCTTTCCAGGTGCGGCGGGAACAGGGAGGTGGTGGGCCGCTGGCCCCGGGCTCCCGGGAGGGTCTGTAGCACTCTGTGTGCCACGTCGTCTGCACCTGCCTGGTGGAGGCGGTGCAGGTGCGGCGGCCTGGGAGTGTCTGATTGAGAGCCTGGGCCCCTTAGCTCACCTGCCTGAGTTCAGGCCATAAGGGATGGGGCTGGGAGGATCTCCTCCTCTTTATCTGCCCGCAAACCTCAGGCTCTCACCGTCTCCCCACCCCGGTATTTGTCCTACCTGCATCCAGGTCTATCTTGTTGTCATTCATCAGGGAGCGGCCGGATGGGAGAGCGGGGGTGCTCTCCTGGAGGGCCACGGGGAGGAGGGAGAGCAGGACGGCAGTGAGGGCCAGCTCCATGGTGTGCTCCCGCCACCACTTCCGGGGCCAGAGTCCTCAGACTGAGGAGCAGGAGATGATTGCAGTCCAGCCCAGGAGCGGGGCTTGCCTCAGGGCGGGGCTGATGCCTCCACGCCTCGCCTGGCTCCCAGTCCTCCTGGGCACAGGATCCTGGGTCTCCTCCACATCTTAGGCAAGACCCTGGGGACCCTCCCTCCCTGGCCCTGGCCTCCTAGCACCAGCCTCCCACACCACTGACGGCCACGTGTAGCGGCCCCACATCAGCCAGGCCGTGTACCTCCCAACTGATTCTCCAGGAGCTAGTATGACCCCCATCTTACAGCACAGGAAGCCAGACTCCTGTGGTTGAACGATTTGCCCAAGGCCCAACAGGTGACAAAGCCAGAAATTCTACTTTGTGCCACAGTGCGGGGGGCCCAGGGGCAGAGGGGCTGGAACTGGCACTAGGACACACTCTACTCTGCTGCCTAAGCAGTTCATTTCCGCCCCGGGGCTCTGAAGGTCCTAAGGTGGGGCCAGGATGCCCAGGAAGTGAGAGGGGACCCATTATTCAAGGAGGTGGAGCAGACATCCTGGTGTCTTTGCCTGACCACAAATAGCAAGCACCTGGACGCCCTGGCCTGGCCTGGCCTTGCGTCTGGAAAGCCTGTGGCCCAGAAAGCAGAGCTGCCCAGCCCCGGGCACGGGGGGATGGAGGGGTGCGGGAGATCTTCCCTGATTCCCGCTTTCTCCGTTTCTCAAGAAGTACCCATTCTTTCTGGTGTCCCATCAACCTAGCCCAGGGGCAGCCTCCCCTCCAGAGCGCTCACTCCCCTGGAGGGTGTGTGGATCTTGGAGGAGCCTCACATCCTTGAGTTAGGCCAAAATCACCTTCAGCGGATACTCTGGTGTTACTGCTTTTTCCACTTACCAGATCTCTTGATTTCTGAGAAGAATGTGAATTTATTTATATCTTGAGTGTTTAGAACTTTTTTTTTTCCTTTATCTATTTCAAAGCTCTGTTGTCAGTGCTATAAAGGCCTCATAGCTTTTTGGTGGCTTATAACTTGGGTCAATGTGAAGTTTTCCTGTATTTCATTCTTAAGACTCCTAGCCCTGGGGTGCCTGGGTGGCTCCATTGGTTAAGCGCCTGACTTTTTAAAATATATATATTTTATTTATTTATGAGAGAGAGAGAGAGAGAGAGAGAGAGAGAGAGAGGCAGAGACACAGGCAGAGGGAGAAGCAGGCTCCATGCAGGGAGCCTGATGCGGGACTCGATCCCAGGACTCTAGGATCACACCCTGGGTCGAAGGCAAACTAAGCGTCTGACTCCTGATTTTGGCTCAAGTGGTAATCTCGGGGGTTTGTGGGATTGAGCCCCACATTGGGCTCCCTGCTCATCTGGGAGTCTGCTTCTTCCTCTCTCTCTGCAGCTCTCCTGCTTGTGCTGTCAAATAAATAAATAAAATCTTAAAAAAGAAAAAGATATGCACAGGCTTGTGCTGTGATCAGAATGCCCACCCCGCTGCCACGTTCATCTGTCAAAATCCATCTGTTGAAGCCCAGGGTGATGTGTTCAGAGGTGGAGCCTCAGGGGGTGATGAGGTCAGGAGGGTGGAGTCCTCGTGAGTGGGATCAGTGCCCTCGGAGACCCAGAGAGCTCACTCACCCCTTCTGCTATGTGCCCAGTTGTGAACCAGGAAGCAGGCTCACCCGAAACCTTGACCTCAGACTTCCAACCCAGGAACCACAAGAAACACAAGGTGCTGTTTATGGGCCACGCACCTACTTTATGGCATTTTGTCATAGCGGCCTGAGCGGACAAGGTCACCCAGCAAAGCATTCGACTCAGAGGTGACGTCACGTTGCTCTTCCTCCATGCGGGCTCACCCCATCCCTTGTTACTGCTGAGCTTGTGTTAGAGACCTAGGGTGCGGAGGGGAGACCACCTGCCCGCACATTCGGCGGGCCAGCCAGTGCACGCTGCTGCAGACACACCTGGAGCGTCTAGCTGCGACATGAGGCATACACCTGCAGGTCTGCCGGTCGGCTCACCTGACGGGTGGTCTAGAGCTCGGCCTCGTCTTGTCTTCTCTCAACCCTTGATTTTATTTTACTTAAAAAACTTCTTGTAGGGACGCCTGGCTGGCTCACTGGTTGAGCGTCTGCCTCTGGCTCAGGTCTTGATCCTGAGGTCCTGGAATCAAGTCCCGCGTCCGGCTCTCTGCAGGAAGTCTGCTTGTATCTCTGCCTGTGTCTCTGCCTCCTTCTATCTGTGTGTCTCTCATAAATAAATAAAATCTTAAAAAAAAAAAACAAATTTGCCAGTTCATCCTCTAGTTACCTCCATTTTAGTATTCAGCCCTTGCCTCCAAGGATTTCTCTAAGCAGCGTCTAGTGTCTGCCCTGTAGTTCTCTGATGGCTCCTTTCCTGGGTAGGAATTCTTGTGTGGTGTTTACAAATACCCTCAAGGAGCTTTCTGAGGACGTACCAGCTGGGATTTTCCAAGTCGTCCGCTATTCAATGGAATGTCTCGGTTTTCTTTGAAGACAGCTCATTTTATTCGAATAGATGGTTCTGGTGCGTGTACAGACTTTCCTCAAGCGTTGCTTTGTCTTGGTTGCTGTGGGTTCATAACAGGCTCGCTGAACAGGCCTAGCATGTTCCCACACTGCACGGTCTGAAGAAGGGGCTGGCCCTTGACCAGCTCCTAGGGAATCACCCCTGAGCCTTTGGAATGTCTTGCTTGAAAACTGTGTCTCTGTAGACCTGGAGCTGTGTGTGCCTCCAGAGAGTTAGTGCGAATACCACCTGGGGCCACCTGCATCCTCAGGGCCTCTGGAGGGGCTCACGTCTGTGAACTAAGGTTAGCCATGTGGGCTGTCAGTGCCTGCATGATGGAAGCCCCATAATAGCACCGCCAAGCCCCTGGGCTCACGGGAGCTTCCCTGGCTGGCCGTACTTCATGAGTGTTGACACACATCATTGCTGGGAGAACTGAGCTCCACCCATCTGACTCCATGGTGAAGGGGAAGCTAGAAGCTTCCACCTGGCTCTCCTGGACCTATCCCCTGTACCTTTGTCATTTGCTGATGCTCCCTGTACCACTGTAGTGAGCTACAACCCTGAGTAGAACAGCTTCCAAGAGTTCTGTGGGTTCTGGTGAATCGTGACTCTGTGGGTGTCCTGGAGACCCCAGTTCAGTTGTCCCATTCACACCTGTCACTGAAGAGCCAACTTGGTGACTTTGTGCCCTGCAACTGGCTCCACTGAAGAGGAAAGCTGGCTGCCCGCCTGCCGGCCCTGTGCAGGTGGGCGGCTCCAGCTGGGAGCCGCAGGCCTGCAGGGGGTAGGTGCCCTCCAGGTGGTCAAAACCAGGCCATCCTCCTCTGGCTCCCGTGGGGGACCCTTGCTTCAGCAGGAGCCCCATAGGCCCGGCCCCAAGTGCACCTACAGGACTTGTCCCTGTGTTTTGTTTTGTTTTTAAGATTTTTGAAATTTATTCACGAGACACAGAGAGAGACAGGCAGAGGGAGAAACAGGCTCCCTGCAGGGAGCCCGATGTGGGACTCTATCCTGGGACCCCAACCTCGGCTGAAGGCAGATGCTCAACTGCTGAGCCATGCAACTGCTGTCCCTGTGTTTCCACGGGAGTCCCGGGAACCCGGCTGTGGGCCAGCCTGGCCCTTCCCGCAGGAGGGGGTGGGCGGGGGCCGCCAGGACCCCGGGGTCGCCGCAGGCAGGACCGTTGGGGCGCGCGCTGTGGCTGGGGGCGCCGGCCCGAGGGGAAGGAAGAGCCAAGCCGGCACCGGGAGGCCGGACGCTCCCCGACACCGCGCACCCCCGCACCCCGGCACCCCCAGAGGTCCGGCTGGGGGCAGGCGCGGGCGGCGTGGCGGGCGCTCCCTCTCCCCCAGGGGCCGCCCCGGCCCCCCCAGCGGGCAGAAGCCGAGGCGGCGCAGGAGGCTGGAGAGGAGGCCATGGGCGCGCACGTCGGGGCGCTGCTGCTGGCGCTGGCGGCGCTGCTGGTGCGAGCGGAGCTCGGGAGGCAGGGTGAGCCCCGCGGGGGCGGGCGGGGGCCCTGCAGGTGGAGGGCGTGCAGGCGGGGCTGAGCTCACCCGCCCCCCGCCCCCCCAGAGTTTCAGGACCGCGACCAGCTGTTCGCAGGTAAGGCGCCAGGACGTGGGACGAGCTGCCCGCGGGGCCCCGACCCCCGACCACCGAGCGCGGGGGCGCCTCACCGTCTCCTCTCCCCCCGCCCCCCCCAGGTTTCGAGAACTCGTCGTTGCTCACGTGTAACTGCCGGGCCCCGGGGGGCGGGGCGGGCGCGGACCACGCGGGGAGGGTCCCCAGGCCCCGGGAGGCCCCCGCCGCGCGACCCCCGACGCCCGCCGTCCCGGGAGCCCCTGCCCTTCGCGCCCGCGGGCTCGGCCGCCTGTCCGTCCGTCTGTCTGTCCATCCATCTGTCCGTCTGTCCGTCGCAGGGCCCTGTGGCCAACGAACTGTTTCAACGCGCGTGGTGGGTGGAAAGGACTCCCAGCTGGGGCGCTGGCCCTGGCAGGGCAGCCTGCGCCTGTGGGGCTCCCACCACTGTGGGGCGAGCCTGCTCAACCGCCGCTGGGTGCTCACGGCCGCGCACTGCTTCGACAAGTGAGTGGGGGGGGGGGGCGGCTGATGGGCGGGCGGGGGCCTGTGTGCCCTTCGGGTGCAGATGCGACCCTCGGGTGCCCCTCTGCCCCAGGCCCGGCTGCAGCCACATGAGGAAAACCCTGTTCTCCGTTTCTAGAATGTTTTTCAGAACATTCACACACACTTTTGTGTCATGCTTTTCTGGCTTTTCTTCCCAAGTAGCAGCGCCAGCCGTCCCCTTCCTCATCCTACCTCCCCACCGAGGTGTACCAGGAGGTGGAAGGAGGCGGATAAGTGCTGGGCACAGAGCCTGGCCAGTGGCCCCAGGGGGAGGCAGCTATTTGGATGCCACCAGCTTTGGTCCTGTGCATCTGTTCATTCTTTTTAGGACGGTGGTGGGACGTGACAGGCTGGTTGAGGGGCCACATCAGGCCCCAGGGGAGGCACCCGGCTGCCCCCAGTCCCTAAGACATCAGGTATGCTCAGGGACCCTGCCTTCTCTAAAGCTCCCTGACTGCTCTCTCTTTCCTGGTCAGGTACAATGATCCCTTTGAGTGGTCAGTCCAGTTTGGCGAGCTGTCTTCCGCTCCATCTATCTGGAATCTTCAGGCTTACTACAACCGGTACAGTGTGCAGGAGATCTTTTTGAGCCCCATGTACCTGGGGGCTTCATCCTATGACATCGCCCTGCTAAAGCTGTCCTCCTCTGTCACCTACAATAAGTTTGTCCAGCCCATCTGTGTTATGATCTCCTCCTCCGAGTTCCAGAACCGGACTGACTGCTGGGTGACTGGCTGGGGGGACATCCAGGAAAATCAGGGTGAGGCTGGGGGCAAGTGGGGGGGTACACAGGGGGGCCTTATGTTCCACCATCTGTTCCACCCACACCAGCTTCGGCAGCCCCCACCTGGGTCTGTGCGCAGCTGGGTCCCTCCTGGGGGCAGCTCAGCACTGTCTGCTCCCCTGCTGTCTGATGCTGCTCCCCCTGAAAGGACAGGACTTCCTGTCCCTGCACCCAGTTCCTTCTCCCATCCAGACACTGTGAGCCAGAAGCCCCAGTGAGAGGGAGGCCAGCTGGACGGGGCTGCACTCCCCAGGCTGCAGGACTGTTGGGGTTGTGGCATGGCCTCAGAAGACCTCGGTGTTGATTGATTTAGCCAAGCATTCTTTCCACCTCGGCCAGGGTGTGCACTCGGCCCCCAGCACCCTGACCCTGGCTTTCCCGTCCCTTCTTCATCTGCCTGCGCTAACTCCTTGCCGATTCCTCTATCCTTGCAATCTCCAGCCATTCATGATCCTCAGTTCCCCATCCCACTCCAGGGGGCCTTGGGCCAGCATGAAGGGCCACCTGCGTATCTCCCCATGAACTCCGTGAAACTGCTGGGCACAGCCTCCCCAGAGATGCCCTGGGTCTGGAGCTGCCCCATCCACTACTCCCTGGCCCAGCCTGTTCCTGCAGCCCCTTCACACAGCAGTCACGACAGATGAAGCTCCTGGCATGCGTGCTGCGTGCCTGGCACTGTTCCAGGCTCTCAAGGCCGAGGAAGGAGCAGCGTGAGGTCTCTTTTCCTTCTGGGCCTTACCTATGGATGAGGCTGGGAACATTTTTGTATCTGCTTCATAAATGAGGAAAGTGAGAGAGGCATGGAAATTGCCCCAGGGCCCCAGAGAGTCAGTGGGGAAGCCAGGGCTCCCTGGGTGGGTGTCCTTAAGGTCACAATCTGAAATTGGCAGCAGGGGGCAGCAGGTGCTAGAGGAATCAGCGCTAGCCCTGCCTTCCTCTAGAATTAGGGTCCTGTCCCTGCAAGGGGCTGGCTACCCTACCGTGCACCCCCCCACCCCACCCCACCCCCCATGCAGACCTCCCCTGCCGAAAGGGCTGAATGGGTGTGAGCCAAGAGGCTCTGGCACTTCTGTGGTGCTCCGCGGGGGGGCGGCCAGGGCTGAACTCCCCCTGAATCTTCCCTTACCTGGAAGTGGGTGATGATGGTGCTGCATCCTAGGCGGCCCTGGGAGCCCTGAGAGCACATCCTAACGCGCTGGCCTGTGGCTCTGGAAGCACTTCCTGTGTGAGGAGAGGAAGGCTCCTGGGCTGTTCCACCTGTGTAGGCCCCGCACTGCCCCAACGCGGCCCCCGGGGCCTCCTGGGGCCTCCCCCGAGGGTGCTGGCTCGGGAGGGCTGCCCTGCGCTTGCTGCAGACAGGGAGGCCGGCTCTCAGGAAGGGGCTCTGGCAGCGTGCCGACCCCACAGATGCTGGCTGCTGGCCCCAGGGACCCTTTCCTGCATCCCATGGCCTGTGCCATTCCTCCCAACCAGATGGCAGAGGAGAGGCTCAGGGTGCCATCTTTCTCTGTCCCCTCCACCCCCGGCAGCACTGCCATCCCCCTACGTCCTCCAGGAAGTGCAGGTCGGCATCATAAACACTGCCATCTGTAACTACCTCTATGCACAGCCGACTTTCCGCCGTGACATCTGGGGTGACATGGTTTGTGCTGGCAACCCCCTCGGTGGCCAGGATGCCTGCTTTGTGAGTCCTCCTCCCTGCCCCAACTAGGGGTTTTGGGGGTCTGGCCTCCTACCACCCCAGCCCCAGGCCTGAGAGTGACCTGTCTCCTTGCAGGGAGGGTTTGCACCCAGTCTGCCCAGCTCCACAGTCCCTCCTACTGGCCCCACCTCTCCACTGGCCCCTCCGGCCCCACCCCAGGCCTGGCTCATCTGCACTGCTCCCCAGGGTGACTCAGGCGGACCCTTGGCCTGTGAGAAGAGAGGGCTGTGGATTCAGGTTGGAATCGTGAGCTGGGGATCTGGCTGTGGTAGGCCCAACCGGCCTGGTGTCTACACCAACGTCAGTAGGCACTTCAAGTGGATCAGGATGCTCATGGCCCGCAACAGCATTCAGAGGCCAGCCCCCTGCCTGCAGCTGCTCCTCCCTCTGCTCTGGCTTGCCTCCCTCCTGCAGCTGGCCTGAGCCCAGCAGAGCCCCTGAGAGTTGGGGCCATCTGCTGAGCCAGGCCCGGTTCCCCCAACTGTTCCTTTTTAAATAAACAGGGTTGCATGTTGAAGTCTATGCTTTGCAGAGCCTTCTGTGGCCCCAGGTGGCTCCCTGTACACCCTCCCAGTCACCCCAGGACCACTCCCTGACTGGCAACCCTTGCTCCAGCTGTCTGCACCATGCAGGTCTGGGTTGCATACCCCAGAACCCTCTCCAGTTAGTTCAGACAGAAAGATAACTTATGGGGCTTAGTTGGTGAAGTGTCTGCCTTCGGCTCAGGTCATGATCTCAGGGACCTGGGATTGAGCCCCGAGTCAGGCTCCCTGCTCAGCTGGGAGCCTGCTTCTCCTCCTCCCTCTGCCTCTTCCATTTGCTCTTGCTCTGTCTCTCTCAAATAAATAAAATCTTTAAAAAAAAAAAAAGAAAGAAGAAAGAAAGAAAGAAAGAAAGAAAAAGAAAGAAAACTAACTAACTAACTAACTAACTTTATGGGAAGACATTAGTAGCCCCTGGGCTCCCAGGAGGACTGGAGCGGGGGTGCCAGGAGGAAATATCCTAACCTCCCCCTTTCTCTAGCCGGTGGGCCCCACCACACATGCCAGCCACTCAGGTCTGAGCTCTGTCTCCCAGAGGCCGGCCTGGGGCCAGGACCGGGGTGCGGGAAGTTTATTTGGGGGGTGATAGCAAGAAGCCCCAGTGAGGAGGTTCCCGCTGCGGGCAAGGGAGGCACAGTCCCGCCTAAGCCCGTGGGAAATCACAGGGGTTGCCTCTGCATCCCTGGGGCAAACCAACCTGGGCACCTGTGATGGGGGGGGAAGGCCAGAAGAGGGGCTCTGCTTCCTCGAATGGGGAGAATGGTCAGTCGCCGGTGTCACCACAAACAAGACCAAAGTTCTCCCCTCCAGGCAGAGAGGCCCCCGCAGGGCGCTCACTGTCTCACCAATTCAGGGGCCCCGTGTGGGCACCCTGTTTCTGCTCCTTCCTGCGCTCCCCCTGCGCTGGAGGGGCTCCCGTCCCCCAGCAGGCAAGGGCACTGAACCCTGCCTTGGCTTCTTGGGGCTCCGGGGCTCCTGGCCCGGCTGGGCCCCTCACCCTTGCAAGGCTCCATGCATGCCGTCCCATGGCCCCTGTGTGGCCAGCTCTTGTCGGACCTGAGGTCCTTGCAGGTGCTGTTCCCTTGGTGGAGGACGTTCCCCCTCCCGGCCTGAGCCCCTCGCCCCTCACAGCCCTCCCACCAGCTGGCCTTGCCCTGCCTACTGCCCCCCCCTCCGGACCCGAGGGGTCCCGAAGGGCCAGCAGGGACCACGCAGCCACGTGCCCTTGTTGCTGGAGCCGCTGCCCGCCCGCCGGAGTGGGTGCCCGCCACCCTCCTGGAGGCGCAGGCCGCGCCGGGACCCCACAATGACCAGGGCACCTGCTCGGCCTCCCGCCGCTGCCGTGGCCGCTGGTTCACAGCTGAGGGCCCTGCCCCGGGGGACCACATGCTGGCGGGCCAGGGAGGCCCCATCTGGGGAGGAAGCTGGAAGCTGGGGGTGGGGGGGCAGTAAGGGACCAGCATCCTGGGGCCCAACAGAGGGCGGCCTTCCCTTGTGATCGAATTCGCGGAGAGTTAAACCCAGAACTTTCATTTTCCAGGACACCTTTAGCCTGGAGTCAAGATTTGTCTTGGAGACTCCACGCCCAGTGCAGAGCCCACCTGGGGGCTTGAACTCCTGACCCTGAGCTCAAGGCCTGAGCTGAGATCAAGAGTCAGACCCTCAACCCGCAGAGCTGCCCAGGTGCCCCAAAGGTGTTGTTTTGAATGCCATCTGCCAGCAACCTAAATGTCCAATATTATGAGATTGCATTAAAGTGTGGTTCTGGTGATCCTTAACCATTTCTTCTTCTTGCTCCTTTCGTTGACTTTTATTTTCTAAGGAGAATGCATGCTTTTTAGAATCACCGTAAAGCTATTTGTACTTTACAAACAAGTCTGGCCGCGCAATGACACCCGTTTCCCCCGTTATCTTAAATTGCTGTCTGGGGGCAGCAGAGTTTGTCGGGCTGGGAATGAGCCGCCCCAGGCTACGTGTGTGCAAACTTCCAGCAACCGCCCGCTTCCCACGTGCAGAGGAGGCCAGTCTGCTCTGTGCACAGGCCCACACGTGGATGCGGATCCTCGGCTCCGGTTCCGTAAGGGAGAGGCCTCCTGGGTGGAGAGACACAGAATGGGGCTGCGGCCACAGAGGCGGGGGGGGGCCGGGGTTCCCAACAAGTGTGAGTAAGTGGGGGAAATAAACATAGTTTCAGGCCCCTTAAGTCTCCTGCGTGTTCAGGTGCCTGCTGGTTCAGCCCCGTGCCCTTGCGTCCCTCTAGAGGAGCCCCTGGGCCGCTGGGGCGGGAGCCCGCAGCTCAGCAGTGCCCCCTTGTGTCAGAGGGGGCACATGGCAGACAGGTGCCGAAAGCTCTGAGATTTGATGGAAGAAAAATCTGCCCCAGAAGGTGTAGGGTGGGTGTGAGATGAGGGGCTCCTGCGAGAGGCAGGGACCCGGAGAACTGCCAGGTCCTGGGGGGCAGCGGCTGGCTCACAGGTCTCTTGTGAAATTCCCCCAAAGGGAGGGCTCCAGGATCACTCTGGGGAATGCTACCCACTGTAGGTCCCCTTGGAGAATTTTTTTTAAAGATTTTATTTATTTATTCATGACAGACACAGAGAGAGACAGAGAGAGACACAGAGAGAGAGAGAGATTGAGGCAGACACACAAGCAGAGGGAGAAGCAGGCTCCACACAGGGAGCCCGACATGGGACTCGATCCTGGGTCTCCAGGATCACGTCCTGGGGTGAAGGCAGGCGCTCAACTGCTGAGCCACTCGGGATCCCTCCCCTTGGAGATTTTTAATGCATCTCAGCATATCAAAGCCTGAAAGGTCCTGCGACCAAGACCAGTTTAACTTTCCCCAAAGTCTGGGATCACACAGTCCCTTTACAAATAAAGTCTAATACTGTGAGGAAATAATACCCCGTGGAGTACACATGGGAGCCACAGCTGAGGGGATGCAGGGGGCGAGGGGGGGCCCTGGGCCACCTGGGGGTGAGGGGGAGGCAGAGGAGGAGCCCCACAGCCCTGGCTCTGCCTGGTTCTCTCTTCTGCCCGCTGGGCTCAGATGGTGATGATGACGATGGGGATGAGCAGGGTGGCCGGTGGCCTGGGCTGCCAACGACAGCCAGTGCCGGGCTTTGGGCTTCGTTCTAATCCCCTCACATGTTGGCTCATCTGGTTCCCCCAGCAGCGGGCAGTGTCAGCACCCCTGTGTAGACAGGGATGGCAAGGGCTGCCTCATGCCCCCGGCCGGGTTCAGCGGGACACCTGCTGCCTCCCAGGCCACCGTGCAGCCCCAGGGGGCGGGGGTTGCTGGCGACTTTCGGGCCTCGGGCTCGTTGCCCTCCCCCCAGCACTCCTGACCGACTTCTTGGCTTTCCAGGAGTAGAAACGTGGCTCCGACGCCTTGGTTCTACCGTGTGGCTCTCTCATTTCCTCTTTCCTGCATCCGTTCCCTTGGGCGGCCTTGTCAGGTGGCATCGCTCAGACCTCTGACCCCTTCCAGTTCGAAGGACCCCTGTGATGACACGGGTCCCACCTGGGCAACCCAGGATAATGTCCCCATGTCACGCTGTTGGCTCCACCACACGGGCGGCATAGAGTGACGTGCTCAGTCTCCAGAGATTAGGGCGCCGCCGTCCTGGGGCTCTGTTCTTTTGCCTCCTGCAGCGACCTCCCTGGGGAAGGGCAGGCGGGGACTCCCCTTCCTAAGCCTTCCTGCCTGACAATGACATCGTGTTGCCCTCCACCTTGACTGGTTATTAGCAGGTCTAGAATCCAAAAAACAAAATAGCTTTTTTTTCAGCTCTTGGAAGACCCTGCAGCACCACCTTCTGGGATCCTATTCCGAAATCTTGGTAGCATTCTGCTGTCACTAATAGTGGCAGCCCTGGCATTTGTCCTTGGAAGTGACACAGCAGCAGTCTGGTGGCAGGCAGGTGCCTTGAATCTGCATCTACAGAGCTTTTTCCATAAGCCTGAGAAAATGTCACTTGTCCACACACCCCACCAACTGGGTCCTTGTTTGGTTTTTAAATATACTTATGTGGAGACGCCTGGGTGGCTCAGAGGTTTAGCTCCTGCCTTAGGCCCAGGGTGGGATCCCGGAGAACCCGGATTGAGTCCCACATCGGGATCCCTGCATGGAGCCTGCTTCTCCCTCTGCCTGTGTCTCTGCCTTTCTCTCTCTCTGTGTCTCTCATGAATAAATAAATAAAATCTTTAAAATAAATAAATAAATACACTTATGTGGGGGCGGGGGCTGCGTGGTGCCTGGGGGGCTCAGTCAGTTGAGCGTCTGCTTTCAGCTCAGGTCGTGATCCTGGGGTCCTGGGATCGAGTGCCGCGTCAGGCTCCCTGCACAGTGAGGAGCCTGCTTCTCCCATTCCCTCTGATGCTCCCTCTGCTCATGCTCTCTCTCTGTCAGATAAATAAATAAAATATTTTTTAAAATTAAAAAAATACACTTATTAATTTTGTTTTCTGATTACAACATGATAGGAAAAGGGTAGCAAAGAAAATGTGTAAGAAGGTTAAAACTGATGGTAATCGCCTAGACCGTCACCCGGGGCGACAAGGGTTGATGCTCTAGTGTGTCCCTAGGCGCATCCAACATACCGTAGGCTACGAGATACACGAAGCCCTGGATTGTGGTTATGTTTAGAACCCACTAGAAATACTTCAGTTTCTCCATAATTATTCTTGTTTGCATAAGGGAAGTAAAAATCTTAGTGATATCTAAAATATCTGCTTTGAAAAAAAAGTAAAAATAAAATATCCCCTTTGGCTTTCTACAACTTTTTTGGAGAATAAGAAAAAGAAAAAAAAGATCCATTGGTGGTACCACCCACAACATAAGTGAAAAATGATCACAAGTCTAATAAACCAACATTTATTCTATAAAAACTATGCTTTTTAAAATTTTATTTATTCATGAGAGACACAGAGAGAGAGGCAGACACAGGCAGAGGGAGAAGCAGGCTCCTTGCAGGGAGCCCGACGTGGGACTCGATCCCGGGTCTCCAGGATCGGGCCCTGGGCCGAAGGCAGCGCTAAACTGCTGAGCCCCCCGGGCTGCCCTATAAAAACTATGCTTAAAAAAAATCTTGATCTCAGCTCAGGTCTTGATCTTAGGTTGTGAGTTCAAGCTCCACATTGGGCTCTGCACTGGGCATGGAGCCCACTTAAAAACAGAAAACCCATGACACTTGCATGTAAATATTTATAAATCTCGGCCACTATTCCTAATCATTTCTGAAGCTAGCTTTCCTATGGGTGCAATGCTTTAGTCAAATGCACTTCATGTCTTCAAAGGGTTTTAAACCACGAGAATGGCTCCCGTGCACTCCTCCCACGAAGGAAGATGGACCCACTTCCCACCCTGTTTGACACTGAAGGCTTCTACTTTCATATCCTTTGTAAACATATAGGTTAAGAAACACCTCTCAGTTTTTTGTGTGTGGTTTTTTTTTAAGGTTTTATTTATTTATTTGAGAGAGAGAACATGCACTGGGAGGAATGGCAGGAGGAGAAGCTGACTCCCCATCGAGCGGGGACCCCAGGATCACGACCTGAGCTGAAGGCAGACTCCCAACTGACTGAGCCACCTACGTGTCCCACACGTTTCAGTTTTTTTTTTTTTAATTTTTTTATTTATTTATGATAGGCACACAGTGAGAGAGAGGCAGAGACACAGGCAGAGGGAGAAGCTGGCTCCATGCACCGGGAGCCCGACGTGGGATTCGATCCCGGGTCTCCAGGATCACGCCCTGGGCCAAAGACAGGCGCTAAACCGCTGCGCCACCCAGGGATCCCCCGTTTCAATTTTTAAGAGTAATCACTTTATGTTTGTAAAAGTGGTACAGTCTTACAAAAAAAGAAAAAGAAAGAAAGAAAGAAAGAAAGAAAGAAAGAAGAAAGAAAGAAAAGAAAAATCAAAGCAATACAAAGGAGGACAGGGGAAGAATAGAAAAATATCCTAAATCCCATCAAGTGGAAGTAACCGAAGTTTTGTTTGAACATTGTTCAAGGACGGGCAGGTGGAAGGATGGGGAGGGGTGGGCCAGAGTGGGGGCCTAGACCCAGGTTCCTGCTTCTCCTAGACACCCCGCAGTCCAGGGGAACTACAAGATGTTTACAGAGGGAATCATTCTCTAAGTGTGTTGGACCCCAGCCCTGTGGCCGGGCCCGAAAGAGAGAGGGAGAGAGAGAGAGAGAGGCGTGTGGGGTTGAGATGATGGGGGCGGGGCCGGGGTTCCGGCCACTTGGAGGTGGGATGCAGGGCTTGGGGCTCAGGAGAGGCTCCCAGCAGAGCCCCAGGCTGGCTGGGTAATGCCCTGTGGTGGGTTAGACTGTGGCACCCCTCAAAAGGATATGTGCACTCGGAACCTCTGAGGTGACCTTATGTGGAATAAGGGTCTTAGCAGATGTAAATAAGGTAGAGATCCTGAGTTTCTCCTGGATAGGATGGGCCGTAAATACAACAACAGGCGTCTTTACAGAAGACAGGAAAAGGGAAGCCACAGGCCAGCAGAGCAGGTGAGGGCAGGGGAGAGGCTGCAGGGGTGCAGCTATGAGCCGAGAAGCCCCTCGCACCCTCTCCGCCCCGGGCCCACTGGCAGCCACCAGACACTGGAAGAAGGAAATGTTCTCCTTCAGAGACCTGGGCTGAGTAAAGGTTTTACTTGTTTATTTGAGGGGGAGATGGAGCACAGGCGGAGGGTGGAGCAGAGGGAGAGGGCGACGGACAAGCAGACCCCGTGCTGAGTGTGGAACACACGTGGGGCTCCATGCGGGGCTGGATCCCAGGACCCAGGATCAGGACCTAAGCCGCAGTCAGCACCGACTGAGCCACCCAGGCGCCCGTGGGATTTTAATTACATAAAAGATTAGATAAAATGTGGTTGGGCGTCCTGGTTTTCCAAAGTAAATGTTGCATTTCTCCGGGGGGAAAAGTGGAAAAAAATGCTCGGCTTAGAGCGTGGCATCAGTTTAAGGCCTTCTTGCGTTCTGTGCTGCAAGCCACAGAGTGCAGAGGGGTCTCCCCAAGCCCACACCCAGAGGGCGACCAAAGCCCTGACCTCTGCTGGGAGCAGACCGCATTGTTCCAGCTCCCAGCAGAGGGAGGGCTGGGCCGCCCACAGAGGGATTAAGGCCTTGCAAATCCCCTGGTGGGGAGCCCTCCTCCCAAGGGACAAAGCGCCTGTGTGGACTCTCCCCAGGGCCAGCCCTGGGCCAGCGGGGATGAGGGTGCAGGGCGCCCCTCTGGAAAAGGGCCCCTTTGCAGGTGTGCATGGGCACGGGTGTGTGCAGGTCGCGTGCAAGCCCGTGCGTGTTTGCTGCAGCCGTGTGAGCGCACGTGTGCATGTGCATCTGCTGTAACCATGCTCCTGCGCTTTGAGAGTGCACATCCTGTGCGCTCTGGGGCACGTCCGGGCACCCCCCAGCACCCCCGTCATCCAGGAGCACCCACTCTGCCTCCACCCCCCAGGGACTGCCCCCCGGGTTTCCGGGTCATGCGGAGTCTCCTCTGGGCGCCGAGCCCGGCCGGTCTGGCACTGGAGAGCGGGCACCTGCGCTGGCGGGGAGCAGGGCCAGAACAGAGCCCCTTTGTGCAGCTCTGGCTCTTCCTCCACAGCGGCCTCTGTGGGCCCCAGGGCCTGTGGGAGGGGGTGAGGAGCCCTGGGAGGCCTGGCTTGGGGGGGCCTGGGCCTCAGGGCCCCCAGGGAGACAGTGTGGGCCCTGAGGGAAGGGCCGAGTCCACTGCTGCGGGCTGCCTCCCCTGCAGGGTGGGGGCCGGGGAGCCCCCAGGCAAGGGCCAGAGGATACACGTGGTCGGGTGTCTGGGTCACAGAGTCTGTGTCATCCGACTGCACAGCCCTGGGGGGTGACGGACGCCCCAGAGGGTATGCACACGAGAGGGCCGGTCTGTGTGCCCGCAGCACTACCCACGGGCAACGGCATTGGAATTCCATAGAACTTTCACGAGTCGCTAAGCTCTGCGCTTCTCTTGCATTGTTTCTAACCATTGACAAAATGTAAGGAGTGTTCTTAGCTCACGGGCTGTGCTGCAACAGGCGGGGTAGGGGGGCTCGATTTGGCCTGGGTGGGGGGCGGGAGAGGAGAGTGTGTCCCCGGGCCTGGGTGCCTCGTGTAGGGGTGGAGGCTCCAGCAGGACAGGGCCTCCCCCCATGCCCAGGCCCCCGACACTGCCGTCCCAGTGCAACCAGTATGGAGAGCCAGCCTCTGGCACTTATGTGACTGGTCACCACTGGCACTTATACGACTGGTCACCAAAGGACAAGTGTGTCGTTTCTGATCTTTTGCAATTCTGAAGGACACGGCCAAGAACGACCTGCATGCCGGCGGCTCTCGTGAGGGTCTGGTGTTCGGGCCCTTGCACGGAGAAGGATCACCGGATTCTCCTAACGTCCGCGACGAGGCGGCCTCCTGCGTACAACCGATGACCCAGTCGCAGCACTCAGGGGACGGGAGCCCCCCAGAAGGCACACACCTCGTAGGCAGGGAAGCCAAGATTTGGCCCCAATCTGGCTTCAGCAGTAGCACCGGCAGGGACCACAGACCTGCAGCCTTCTAGAAGTACCCTGTCACCTGCCCAGTGAGTCTGACCCCGAGGCCTGACCCCAGGAGCTCTCAGCACTGGCCTAGGGAATCGTCCTGTCCCTGATCCTCTGTGCCCATGTCAGGCACCTCGGCTGTGCAGTCACCCCAAGGCCCATGGAGGTCAGCCCATCCCAGCAACGTCTGGTCCACGCACAGAGCAAAGATCGTCACCGTCTTCCAAATGATACAGCATGGAGGGCCAGCGCCCTCTGGGGGGGGGGTCTCTTCCAGCTGGCCCCAGGCACACACTGCGCTCCCCGAGGGTCGGCGGGGACCTCAGCCTCAGCTGCTGGAAGCCCACGGGACACCGAGCTCCGCACAGGCCCGAATGAGGTCCTGGGCCAGGTTCTGCACAAGGCGGGAGCTTCTAGGGGGCACATGGCCTGGAGCCCCCCATGGGGTGGAGACCTTCTGGCCAAGCTGGGGAGGGCTCCCAGCAACCCCCTCACATCTGGGTGCAGCTCTGGTCCAGGTGTGGAGTGGAGAGGCCCGGAGGCTGCAGGACAACGGTTGTCACCGTCCCGTTTTGTTTGTGTAGGCCATGGGGCCAAGACAATAAACACAGCGTGTCCGGGAGCCTCCCCCAGGATGGCTTGGGACTCCCCCAGGAAGAGCTCCCACCGCCCGTTCCTTCCTGTTCCCCCCGCGGCCCTCACTCCTTCCTTCTGGATAGGGGCCCACAGGGCCGCGGTGGGTATAAAGGGCCGGCAGAGAGCACCAGGCACAAGACTCTGCGCCACCAGGACTGGGCGACAGGACTCTCCTGGCCAGGTAGGGCAGCGCCCCTTCCCCCACAGGCCCGGTGAGGTGGGACGGGGCCCCTGTCAGACTCGGTGGCCTGCCTCTTCCCTCCAGGAGCCTTGGGACTCCCCATCCAGAGGCCATGCTGCTTTGGCTGACCCTCGCCCTCCTGGGGAGCACCACCTGCTGGGCAGGGCGTAAGTCTGCTGGGTGTGCCCCCCCAAGCCCGTCCCCCTGCGCGGCCACCCTCTGCCCACCGGGCCCTGGGCAGAGCCCTCGTGCAGACCGACTCCAATCTCAGGAGCCCGCGGGCTGCCTGGCAGGGAGGGCCGAGCCCAGTTCCGGTCAGGGACGCGCCATACCTCCGTCTGAGCGTCCGTTCCTCCCGCCCGGTCCCCTCATCACCTAGAGATGTACGGGATTGGGCAAGGCAAATACTTCAGCACCTCTAGCGACTGCGAAATCACCGGGATCCGGGTGGCCACGAGTATCTTTGGCCTGATGAAGAGGTGAGAGGAGCAGGACCTTGGGAGCCGGGGGAGGGGCTTTACCCCCTTCCCCTGTACCTTCGCTGGGCTCCCGAGGACCCTGGGAGTCCTGGAGCCACGGCCTGTCCCTTCATTCCTGTCCTCAGGCTCCTCACCCCCTGCACACTGGCCCCTCTGGTTCTGTCTGCAAGTCCTGAGCGGCTTCCTGGGCTGATGTGAAAGGAGGGGTAGATGATGCTTCTCCCTCCTTTCTCCTTTGAACCCCAAACAGCCTGTCAGTCAGAGATGCCTGATGGGGAACCCAGGGGACGGTCTGTCCAGGGGAGGGTCAGAGGAAAGTGATGGTCAGAAAGGACCACTGGCAGGACGCAAGTCGCCAGAAGTGTGCAGAGGCCGAGTGCCGGGCTCCGGGCCTGGCGGGGGATCTGTGCTCTGCTCTCACAGGGTCCTGCGGGGAGCGGCTGGCACCACCGGGGACAGAGCGCCGGCAGGGCCAGGTGGACGGAAGCCCCGATTAGCACAGCTAGGCCAGTGTGGGAGTCACCTGCCTCTAGGGCCTGTGACCGGGTCTAGTCCATAACTGGGGCTCAGAAGCTCCAACGCTGGGCCTGGGGACAGTTCCCCACCGTGAGCAGCGACAGCAGCTGGTGCCTGAGGGTTGTGGCGACTGTGCCAAGCTCCCCTTATGAATGATGTCATTGATGCCCCCCCCCCCAACGCACTCCCACTCTTCAGGTAAGGAAACAGGCCCAGAGAGGCTGGGTGACAAGCCCAATATCACAGGGCCCGAAAGCATCAGAGCAGGAGTCTGAGAGCAGCACCCCTGTGCCAGGACCTCAAATCCACGTGCTTTGGAGGTCCACCTGTATGACAGGGTTGTTGTCCGTGCAAGGGGACAGAGCACCTGGGGAGCGGGGAGGCAGTCTGGCAACTCTTCCCCCGTCTCCCAGTATCCAGGTGAGATGCGGGTCGTCCTGGAGCACAGTGTATGGCACCTCCGGGGGGAACACCCAGGAATTCATCCTGCAGCCGGGAGAGTACATCACTATGATCTCTGGCTCCTACAAGTTGTACATGCACTCCCTGGTCATATACACACATATGGGTCGCTACGGCTTATTCGGCAAGGAAAGTGACTTCAGCTTCATGGCCTACCCCGATGAGGAGGGGCAGGTGCTCACAGGCATCTGTGGCCAGCACAAGCTCTTAGGCATCTCGGGCCTCTGCTTTAACTGGAGCTATCCTCCAACCAACATCACAGAGGTGTATGCCTTCCCATGAGCCAAGGGGGCCGAGAGGAGCCGAGTCTGGACCTCAGGCTGGAATCTACCGATAAATAAAGCTTCTGCATGAACGGTGCCTCCGGGTGTGGTCCTTGGGTCCGGGGTGTGACCGAAGCCTTCCCAGCCGGTGGGGGATGAGGCCCGGGGAGAAGGTGCAGGAGGAGGGAGGAGGGGGTCCGGCGCCCCAGGCCTCGGGGATTCCGCCAACGACAAGGGCCCGCAACAACAAGTGCAGGCTTCAGGCCTCAAAGACCTTCAGTCTTGAGGAGTCTGGGCTCTGAGGATGCTCCCGACCCCGTCCCTACCCCAAGCCGTCCAGCTGGCCTCTGATGGCCCAGGCTCAGTCCCCATCTTCTCTGGGGCCTTAGGGCAGCCAGCCGTTCACTTATTCGCCCACTCAGCACACACTTGCCGGGGCCTGGGCTCCCCTGGCCACTCAGGGTTAGAAGAGGCCAGGTGTCCAGCCAAAGGGTGCCCTGTAGAAGTGGGTGGTGGCATCTGCATTGATGGGGACATACGCAGGGCATTGTGAGTAGGCACCGGCGTACAGGCAGGGTGATGGGGGAGTGCTCCAGGGAAGCCTTCCTGGAGGAGGCAACAGAGGAAGCTGGAGGGGGAGTGGGAGCTGGCCCCGTAGAGACAGGAGGAGGAGGGCATCCCGGGCCGAGGGACCCGCAGGGGCAGAGGATGGGACCAGAGGTGGCTGGGGACAGGGCTCTTCGACGTGTGATTTGTGACAGCAGCCTAGGGCGCTAATGCAGACTCCACACCCTGCCCGTCCCAAGCTTGGAGTCCCACACGGGAGCTTGCTGCCACCTGCGTCCTAGAGACAGCCCCCCAGGGTTGGCCTGGGTCACACAGCAGCAAGCCTCCAGGTTGGGGTTCGCGTGGCCTGGAGCCCCAGAAACAGGCCAACGTTTTATGCCGTCCTGCTCCTTGTCCTTAAAATGCTGGCTGGGGGCCATCGGGTGCTGCTCCCCCGGGGTCCCAGGGCCAGTTTCCGACAATCCTCGACCTAGGCTGGGGAGAAGAAAACAAAACTCCTGTTTATTTTCATTGTTTCCTACTGGAAATTTCGGGTTTTCTTCAAGTGTGAGTGTGACCTCAGCCGGCTCCTCCGCAGCATTCGTGATCTTGGCGTGTCACTTACCTTTGTCAAAGTTCATCCTGAAATTCACACTCCTCACAGCTTGCACACCATGGGTGTTTTTAGACTTGCCACTTGATCTGCGGGTGGTAAAAGGTATTTGGAGAACACACGGAGGGGCACATTGTGACAGATGCGTCTGTGCTGACTTTGCAGGACACGGTTTTCCTCCTGCGTGGTGGCTGGGGGCTCCCCCCCCCCACTGCAGTAGGGCCGTGGTACCCCAGGGCCACTTCCGTTGGGTGATTAATTCCTTGCCCTGCAGGTGGCTAAAAGGAAAATCTGTTTTCTTTTTTTTTTTAAAGATTTATTTATTCATGATAGACATAGAGAGAGAGAGAGAGAGGCAGAGACACAGGAGGAGGGATAAGCAGGCCCATGCTGGGAGCCTGACGTGGGACTTGATCCCGTGACTCGATCCCGGGACTCCAGGATCACGCCCTGGGCCAAAGGCAGACGCGAAACCACTGAGCCACCCAGGGATCCCCAGGAAAATCTGTTTTCAATGTGAGAGAGACTCCTGACCACTCTCACAGGGGCGGTTCTTGGGGCTGGCAGCTTGGGGGGGTGGGGTGGGACCCTACGTCCCCATGTGCCCTGTACGGCAACCAGGACAGTCAGAAATGAAAACATGTGGGCTTGAAGAGGGCAAGCACTGATCTGCGTTGGAGTCACGGCCTTGTGACCAGGATCAGAAGGAAGGACGAGGACAGGGTGGGAGCTGGAGGGGGAGGAGGAGGGGGAGCGGGAGGAGGGGGAGCAGGAGGGGCATGCCAGGGGGCCAGCTCAGCGCAGCAGCTGTGGCGCAGACAATCTGGATCTGCCAGCAGCTGTCAGGAAACCCTGTGTGGTTCCCCCCCCTCCCCGTGAACCTGTCCCTCATGGTGCCTGCCTGGGGGGCCCACGAACAGGCCCTTTGGACCCACCACCCCTGCTCCCTCATAGCCACCATGGTGCAAGGCCTGCAGAGTGCACTGCAGGGGCCCAGAAGGGGGGCGAGGGAGCTTGGGGGCACACAGGCCTGCTTCCCTTAGTGACAAGGACTATGCACTCTGGCCTGAGGTCACCTGATCTCTGGGCCAGGGGACCCAGGCCCCCATCAGAACCCAGCAGGTGGCCTCATGGAGTGGCCTTCCCCACACGGGTCACTGGGGTGGGCCCCTGGGGTCACAACTCCTACAAGGACTGCCCCCTCTTGAATCCAGTTCCGAGAGGCGGGAGAGCCTGCGGGGCGCTCAGCAGTAGGGTGTGTGGCTCCTGCGCCCTGGGGTGAGGCGGGTGCCCTGGGGGTGCTCCAGTGGAGGTGCCCGTGGGGGAGGTGACTGGTGGCCCCCGCAGTGACACACTTGCCTGTCCATGGCACTAACGCCTTGTCCTGCAGGATACGGAGAGCCCCAAACCTCTGCTGGATGCCAGGAAGGAGACTGGCTTTCCAGACCATCTCTCCTCGACGCCTGTCCTGTCCTCGACGCCTGTCCTGTCTGGCCTCAGCACTCCCAGCTGCAATGGCCCTCGGAAGTCCTTCCTGCCGTCCACCCAGCTTCTGAGCTTCATTGTCAGCCCGCGTCGTCCCTCGCAAGTGACCAGTTCTTCCCTATGTGGACCAACCCCCTACTGCTGGGGCTCCTCCCCATCGGAACACCTGCTCACCTGTCCTCATACCTGAGCTCAGGAAGGCTCCTGCCCCCTCAGAGACCCAGGGCCGCCTCTGCTCCCGTGTGTCCTAATGGGTCCAGGTGGGCCCAGGGCCCGCGGCCAGGACAGAGGTCTACAATACTCCAGGCAGTGACCTCTTGCTGGCCTGGCGAGCAAGACTCTAATTGGGAGTGGGGACAGCTTTCCCACCACATCTTCCTCCTGGGCCAGTGTCTCCTGCAGTGTCTGCCCCGCTTACTGCTCCCCCCTGTGGACCCCACCTCCCCACCCAGCGCACCTGAGCTGTGGCCGTGGCAGCCACAGTGAGAGCCACAGGCCACTGTCAGGGGAGCACGTGCCCAGTGTCGTCATGTGTGACCAGGAGCTGGGGGCAGCCATGTGCAGTGAGGCGCTCAGCCCTCTCTCGAGTGGGAGAGGAAGATGATGGATAAAGGACAACAGAATAGAAACAGAGAGGTGGCCCTGATGGTCTTCCAGCTGAGCTCTAGGCCACCCCGAACCCCAGCTCGCTCCTGCTCTTTCATAGCAAGACATCTATCTCTCAAGGATGGTTGCCAGATAAATTTCAGGATTTCAGATAAAAATGTTTTTTACTGAAGTAAATATCAACATTGCATTTTTTTAAATTTTTTTTTAAATTTATTTACGATAGTCACACAGAGAGAGAGAGAGGCAGAGACACAGGCGGAGAAGCAGGCTCCATGCACCGGGAGCCCGACGTGGGACTCGATCCCGGGTCTCCAGGATCACGCCCTGGGCCAAAGGCAGGCGCCAAACTGTTGCGCCACCCAGGGATCCCTCAACATTGCATTTTTATAAGTATAACTATGTCCTAAATATTTTCCCCCTCCCAAGTATAAGTATATCCCAAACACAGTATGGGACGCACTTAGGCTAAACATTTTTTTCCTTGTTTATCTGAAATTCAGATTTAACTGGGCGTACCATCTTTATATTTGCTGGATTTGGCAACCCTAACATGAAGCACGTTGGGTGCTGCAGGAGCGGTCAGGATTGGGACATCGGGCACAGCGGCCTTTCTGGGACAGAACTGCAGGTAACATGAGAGCAGATGCGGGAGGCATCTGCAGCGTGCACTCGCCTGAGCGGGTGTCTGCCGCCAGGGAAGGTGCCGACCAGGGACCTTCAGACGCTCCCTTCCTGCCACATGTGTCCTGGCTTTCCTGGGCGTCAGGCTCTCAGCAGCGCCGGCCGCACCGATGTCATTCCCTTCTCCGTCCAGCGTCCCGGGCCGTGGAGGGCGAGAGAGGGGCCCTGCGTCTTCATCGTGCACTGGGCCCTGAGGGCGGGCCTCCTCTTCCCCGTCCGCCCAGCACCCCAATGCCTTGCAGGGTCCCGCCAGCCCCCAGGAGGTGGTCTGCGCCCCTCGCCCGCCCGCCCACCGACCCAGGCAGCCTGCAGCCCACAGACCTCCGGCTGGCCTGGACTCTTGCAGGAACTCGGGGCTCTCCCGCGGGCGTCCCGAAGAGCGCAGCTGCTCTGCGTGTGCCCCAGCCCACAGCCCCACTGGAGCCCTGCAGCCCAGGCCGTGCCCACGCACAGCGGGGGGCGGGGGGAGCCGGGCAGGTAGGCGGGGTAGGCGGGGACAGTCACCCGCTGCAACGTCAACCACCAGAGGGGACTGATGGCCCAAAGTCCAAAGTGGGCGCTCTCGTGTTCGCTCCGAGCAGCAGCAGCCCGGACAGGCGGGGAGGAGGAAAGTAGACGCATCCTGCGAAGGGCCCTTCAACAGGACACGGAAGCACCCGCCAGGCGCAGGGGGTAGCGCCGGGCCACCGGGTTTCCGCCTCTCGGTGGGCTTGCCGAAGCTCTTCCTAGGTTCCAAGAAGCATCCCGCCCCCGCTGCAGCGCCCAAGGACCCCCACAAACCCTGCTGCCCAGGCCTCAGGAGATCACATCTTCCAACCAAGAATCAGCTTCGGTTGCGTTTAGTGCCTTGCCCCAGGTCACCGAAGGAGTGAGGGGCCAAGGCCAAACTCATTCCCAGAGAGGAGTCCTGGGCAGGACCCACTGCCCCCGCCTCCGCCCCCACAGAGATGCCAGAGGAGGGACACCTGCCACCGGTCCCGGGTGCCCCCGGGGCTCCTCGTCACCCTCGCCCCTCAGCTTCTCTCCTTTCCCTGGCTCTGGTGTCCCCACTGGCTCCCAGCCAGCACCCAGGGCACAGCTAGCTC